TTGCATCTTGACGTATGTTCCTTTCGAAGGATCGTTCGGAGAGTGAGAGCGGGAGAAGTTAGGTGTGGGGTTGCGTTAGGCGCGAGGGAGCACGAGGGGGCATGCGGGATAAGATGGGCAGATAGAGGTAGGGCCGGGGGCGCGGAGGGTGATTGGCGGAAGAGGTGTGATTCCAGGGAGGGGTTAGCATGGTCCAGAAATCACCTTCGGGGGAGCATAGGGGGGGGTGTCACCGCCGGGGGGATCAGAGTGCGGGCGCGTGGGACGGTTTGAGGGTTCTGTAGGTACAGAGGAGGCGGATATCATAGGGTGCGAGAAATGGGGCGTGAGAATCGATGTATGAGGGAGGGGGCTCTGGGGGGGGCGGGGAATGACACAGGGGGGGGGCAGGAAGGGTGGGAGATATGGGGGTGAGTGTTACTTTCGGCCAGCAGGTTCGGATGGGTGGGTAGTGAGCAATGGCGTGCGACATAAACACGTCGGTCTCGTCGTAGATAGGGAGGGTAACTGTGACGTGGGGGGACGGGCGCACGTGATATTGCGAGCGTTAGTTAGGTGCATGTCAGTAGGCTAGGGGCAAGATGGTATTCTGTATTTATAACCTCGAGACGTTATGACTATCGGGGCGGAGCCTAGGCCTTCTGAGTGGTGGGCGTGTTTGGATCTGTCTACGAGGAGGGTATACTGAGGAGTCTATCCTACACGGAGACTAATTTCATACTGTCGATCAGACAGCCTGTATGTGAAAGTACAGCGGGATGTGTGTAATATCTAGGCTAAGTGTGAGCAAGTAGAAGACTGGGTGATACTGGCGGGTGTGTACTCGGTGAAGGGCGGGCTCTGTCGGGGGGACGAGTGCAACGAAGACTTCAAATCGGATCAATACAGGGGGCAATTTGATCGGTGGTAGAAATCAATACATGGGGGCAGAGGAATCTTATTTGGGGAGGCTAGACTTGTTGTATATTATAGACATTAGTAGCGAGGAGGTGAATGCTGGGAGACTCGGGGCTATTGACATGGTAGGGATTGCTACTGCGTTCTAAGATCCGATATAGGAGAGAATCACCCGTGGGACTCATACCTTTAAAGTGTTGAGGACAGGGGGGGGGGATCGTTGAGGGCTGAGGTGGGGGGGGGGGATAGTGGGAAGTCACATAATGGGTGGTCATCAGTATGTAGGCGGAGATTAGTTAGTGTTGAGAGATGTGGAGATAGTGTAGATGACATATTTCGCCGAGGACATTACAGCGGACAGGTAGAATAGCACTTAGACTCTCACTTACTATGATCGGACTCTTCAAGTCAACATAGTAAACATTGTAGGTTGTAATGACTTTCGCATCAGTTTGTCATGGTCCGTTAATCGTGTTATCCTCGATGTAGTACGGTAGGATTTTGTAGTGATTGGTGGTCCCACTTATTCTTCCGTGACATTTCTTACAATGTCTTCTTCCTCTAGTTGGGCAAACATGGCATATGCAGTTCGTCGATATACGCGTATCGTTTATCACAACACTTTGCACAGAAGTCGTTCTCTAATAATCCTTCGAGGTGGAGTATTAAACAACAATGAGATGGCGCTTTTGAATGACAAATTGTTTAGCGTATAAGTTCAATTTTGTGCGCGGCGTGGACCAAGAGTACACGTGACACGCGGTGACACGCATTACATTGTTTTCGTAGCGAGCGTGATGCAGCTCTACGCAAGAAGGGGGGTGGGGGGGGAGGGGGGGGAGGGGGGGGAGGGGGGGGGGGGGGGGGGGTCGAACCGCAATCATGCGGGCGGGGAGCAACAGCACGAGACAACACAATTTATGCTCTCAGCCACCCCACAACCCCAAGCACATGACCCTTTACACACTACTCTCTATAATATGATTGTAAATAATCCCTGATCTCTTGACAAGCACATTAAATACATCACCGACCAAGCATTAAGACCCGTCTGAACAGCGTACTCGATTTGTGTACTTCGGTCGAAATGGAGTCTTTCAGTACACTGCACTTCATGAAGTTCATTCTATCAATATTTGAGGGCGATTCAAATAAGACAGATAGACTCTGCAAAGGTTGCAATATCAATGTGAGCATGTCAACCTTTGATGCAATTTCAGCGCAAGCAGTTTCAGCTACTGATGGACATTTTTCAGGTGTCGTTCTAAGGTCAGTGTAGTCCAAGGGAATTTCCTACAGTGCCTACACTGATTCGGGTAATTTCTTTACTAATACTTCCAGTCTTTGTGTAAAGTACCTTAGTTCGTTGTCTCAGATTTTGAACTAAAATGGAAGAATCCTGGCTCATAATACTTTTTGTCTTCATGGAGCGTGTCCTTACTGTAGACATGGTAATGAAACCGAAGTAAGTTACACTGAAGCAAAATCAGAGGAGCTTAGACAATGTGTGTTAACTTTTGATCTTTAACTGAAAATTCACGTCTAATATAATGTTGGGAGAACAATGGCAACTCCCGGAAACTGTGCGCTTTAATTAGGAACAAAAAGAACGCAAAGCAGTGAACTGTTTGAATCTCCGCCTCCGAGTTGCACACGCTGTTGCTTAGGAAACGCGATCTCTCCACCAAGTCCAAACGTGTTGTTGTTGTCTCACCTTTCCAATGACACACCGGTTAGCAGTAGGGTTGGCACAGACAGGTCACAAGCGGTTGCAGGTGAATGTAGACAGGCCTTGGAACGAAGCACCGGCTATCGATCTGGTCAGAGCGCTTCTTGGTGTGGCGCTAGTGGTGTGTGGCCGGTGGGTTGATTTGTAGTGGCAGCCTCAGTGACTGAGATACAATCGAAAGAGTAGCGGTAGATCCCTTATATTGCTGCCTGTATCTGCCTTACGCAGCTATCGATAAAAGCAGTCGTGTAGTTGTTGTTGGGCTTCAAAAAAGATCACAATTTTTGGTGTAGGATGCAAACCGAAAGAAATTCCTCGTGTAAACCTCCACAGAGAAAACAGGAAAATTAAAAATCCACGGGATATAGTCGTCTGTAAAGCGTGGATTCGAAATACGCTGTGCGTTGGAAACATCATGTCGAGCCGGTTCGTTTGAGCGTACAGTGATAACGCTGCAAACAGATGGAGAGAGAATAGAGGGGAATAATCCAGATGACTCGAGAGCGCGCACCTCACGCTCGATCGGTCAAAGTTGAGTTGTCAGCGGGAAAAGGTGCTATTGGTACGTCTCGTCTTCCGGGTCTGAGTTCACGTGACCTGCCTTGGGTATCACTCGAGAAATTACAGGACATGGCTCAAAGTCGGCACCGGTAGTGCGTCTACAGTCGTCTCGTAGTCGAACTGTCTGTTTAAAGTGTGCTTGGTGTTGAATCATCTGCGTGGTAATGGCTGATCATGACGCGGGGCAATGAAAGCTGTAAGAAAGTTATCTCGCCGTTGTACAGTTCAACCAAACAACCATGATCCGGGTACCGAAGCGCAGTGGATGCAGTTGCCACGACACAAGTTTCCAGAATAACAACAGCAAGTGAGATTTACTGCCGATAGAAGAAAAAAAATGGATTTAGGAGAGAAAAGTGCAAAACTAATCTCTGATGCCGCCTTATCTTTGTACAATATCCGATTAAGGAATGAAACAGATGAATCCGAAGTCCTTTTCAAAGCCGGCGTGACCGCATTCTAGAAGGTGCGACATGATAGAGCAATTAGAAGACCTCGCTTCTCCTATGTAAAACCACTACGGAATGTGTTCGCGAATCCTGTGACATAGGCGCGTCGTAGTACGGCCCGCGTATCGTGCACCAGTAAAATGGAACAATGGTCTATTACGGGCAAAAAAGCGAATGCTTAGCAAATTCCGCAAAATGGCCAGAAAGAGAACCGCAACAGTGAGTAGAAAACAGTGAAAAAATGAAAATCGTTTTTGTGGACTTACCACAGGGTTAACAGAGATGTATGCAGAAAGAGACAACCTCAGCCATGTAGGTTAATTCCGGTTGTGCAACTTTCGTCGCATTATAGCGTTTGTCAAGACACACAGGCTTTATCTCGTAATGTAAGTGGGTTAGGGCAAAATCGAGGCTTTTTTAAACACAGGTAAAGTGAGGGGCGGAAACGACGTAATTCGGGAAGGTGTTCCATGGCTACCATACACGAAAAAAATAAAAGTGCCGGCGACATGCTAGCCGGCTGTATGGTGTGGCTAACTTGAACTGGTGGCTCCTCAAAGTCGTGCTATGGCTCAGTTGTAGTAGGTGGCGTCAGACGTGGCTGGGGTTTCTCAGAATTTTGTAGGCCATAATAAGGTCACCACATAAACGCCGGACTGGCCACTGTATAATTTTAGGGTCCTCAGTCTAAATTGGTAAGGAAGATTGAACAACTGTTTGAGGTGCTTTGTGGCTCGTCACTGTGGAGTCTCGAGCGCTGCAAGGTCTTGCTTGTGCAAGGGCTGTCAGTCCTGGATTGCGTATTCCACATGAGGCCACACGTAGGTGTTAGGCAACTGCGAACAGACTGAGGGATCAAACCGCCCAAATACCCTCCGCAGCATGCCAACGTGTTGGTTCCCAGTCTTTGACGCCTTCTCAGATTGTTCTGAGCATCCCAGATCAGTCTGGACTAGTACCCCAAGATTGCGCTCATCGGTAACTGCTTGCAGGACATGGTCTCCAAGGTTGTATGTGAGGTTCGGCTGGTGGCGAATGTGAACCACCTTACAATTCACCGAATTGAACTGGAGCAGATTGTGGAGTGATCACTGATACGCTCTGTCTAGGTCTCGCTGAAGTGCATCGCGATCTCCTGGGTCGACAATGGTCCGCCACATCTTAATATAATCAGTGAATAGCAAGAAATCTGAGGCAATCAAACGCGTAAGCTCGCTACTAAACACGAGAAACAGACACGGCCTCAGAACTGATCCCTGCGGAACTCCACATTCGACGTAAATCGGATCGGATAGCGCACTTCGAACTCTGACCTGATCCAACTAAGGACAGGATCACCAACTTAATAGATTTCGAGCCTGTGAACTAGAATGCTGTGGTCCAGTCGGTCAAAGGTTTTAGAGAAGTCGACATCTGCCCCTCTAACTTCATCTGCCGCTTCCGTCCAACAACTGCGTGCAATCAGTAGGTTGGTTGTGCGTGAACGGTATTTGCGGAAACCATGTTGCTTGGATGCTATGGTGTTGTGGCGTTCTATATGGTCTACTAAAGCATCAGCGATGATTGCCTCCACCACCTTTGAGAGCACAGGGAGGAGGACCACTGGGCGATAGTTGGCGGGTTCCGAACGATTACCGCTTTTGAAAATTGGAGTGGCTAAGCCATGTTTCCACATAGTATGCACAATTTGCTTATCCAAGCACGTTTGGAAGAAATGTGATAATGGCCCGGCCAGCGTTGTTTCTGCTACGTTCAGCGCCCACGGGAGAGCTGTAAGTGCGTAGTGAGAGCAGTTGCTCCAACACAGCTGTGGCAGTAAAGTCGATGTTAGTGAGTGCTGAAGTTAAGGCTAAGGATGTGGGTATATAACACTGGTGGACGTCTTGTTGGAAAGTTGGAGCATACTGCGCTGGCTGCGTCTTCACAAATCTGTGCTACTCCGACTTGCGTGTTAAGTGGGGGGAGACCGAACTTCACTTTCCGGGTGATGTTAACATGCTTGCATGGGAGCTTTTGATAGTTGGCAAATTTAAAGGCCGAATGTTGTTGGTGAGTCGATTTGTCCTCCCGGACAAGCATGTTACAATGGTTGCGCTGGGTCACGTAACCGTTTCAGGTTTCGGGACAAAGGCGAGCTCTGTAAGTGTGTCAAGCTGCATTCGCTATTGACTTGCGCTTGCGGGTTCAACTTCTGATGAAAGACGAGGGATCGTTGGCGCGAACCCTCTTCGTTTCTGAAGCAGTTGCAATTAAATTGCTGAAATGTCCAACAACCTGAATCCATAGGCTGTCAGGTGAGCCACCTTACGAGAATTCCCAATCGGTCACCTCAACTAGGTTGTTCAGGATGTTGTAATGTGTGATAGTACGTGTCAGTTCTGTGTTCCTCCGGATATTCAGCGTTTGTCATATAGTTATAAAGTATGGTGACATAATCGCTTACCCAAAACGGGGTATCTATAATTGGCCTGCCGATCATGAGTTTCATTTATTAGTACGAGGTCGAATGCCGATGGTTTGTTATCAGTTCTGTACCTGGTAGGTGATGTGATGTGATTGTAGAGCAAGATACTTGAGAGAAAGCTTTGCAGTTCGGCCTTGTATGTTTCGCTGGTGGATGCCGAGGTTTCCAAGTCGTGCACGTTGAAATGGACGGAGATAAAAACGTGGCTGTAAGTTGGGGACAAGCATTTCGTCAGTGATGATATTAGGTAGGAATCCATCCCTGGAGTGGAAGATTGGGAGAGATATACGATTGCCACGAAGCAGTTGCAAATGTGTCTAAGACGCAAACGGCATCCTAACGAGTCGGTGACCCGCGTCTCCGGATCATCCAGTGGTTCGTATTGTAAGTCGTTACGATAGTATGGGATACCACCACCTTCCCTACTGTGACAATCGTATCGGAACAAGGACATACCCTGAATCGCGATCTCGGCATCCGTTATCCCTGAGTGCAAGCAAGTCTCGGTTATGGAGATGAGATCTCAAACATTTGTTGCCTGGCGCAACCGAAGCTCAGCGAGTTTGCTGAGTACGCCTTGGGCATTCGTGTACATGCAGAAAAGTGTTTCGGTTCTCAGTAACGATCCGAGACATTTGTGGCTAAGATGTGAGGTTGTGTCGACCATTGTATGGTCGCCCGCTAGTCGTTTTATGTGGTATTATCGGTGAGTCGCTTGGGGTTGGGTTCAGTGGCATGGTGCTTAGTCCCTC